ATGAGGTCTCGCCAAGTTGCCCAGGCGGGTCTCGAGCCCGCGGGCTCAGGCAATCCACTCACCTTAGCCTCCCAAAGGCGCGGGATTACAGGCTGAGCCACTGAGCCCAGCTCCACTTTGTTTCTTTTGCTGAGGATTGTTTTGGCTGTTTGTGGTCAGTTATGATTCTGTATTGTCATTTCCAGGTCTGAGAAGCATGATGCTGGTAATTTAATGGGTATTGTGTTAAATCTGTAAATTGCCTTGGGTAGGATGGACATCTTAATGTTTATTCTTTCAACCCATGAGCATGGAATATTTTTTCCACTTGTTTGTGTCATCTTTGATTTCTTTAAGCAGTGTTTTGTGGTTTTCATTGTAAAGGTCTTTCACTTCTCTAGTTAGGAAGATACCAAAGTATTTCATTTTGTGTGTGTGGCTGTTGTGAATGGGATTGTGCTTTTTATTTGGTTCTCTGCCTGTTCGTTGTTGGCGTATAAGAATACTACTGTCTTTTGCACATTGATTTTGTATGCTGAGACTTTACCAGATTTCTTTATCAGTGCAAGGTTTTTGACATTCTCTTGGATTTTCGAGGTGTAGAATTATACCGTCAGCAAAAAGATGGCTTGACTTCCTCTTTTCCTACTTGGATACCCCGATTTTCTTCTCTTGTCTGATTGGTCTAGCTAGGACACCCAACACTATGGGGTGAAAGTGGGCATCCTTGTCTTGTTCTGGTTTTCAGGGGAAATGCTTCCAATTTTTGTCCATTTAGTAATATGCTGGTCGATTGTGGGTTTAGTGTAGATGGCTTCTACTATTTTGAGGTTTGTTCCCTCTATGCCTAGGCGTTCTTGCCTGTTTTTGTTTTTGAAAGCAGGATTTATTGAGACAATAGAAAAGCTGCCACAGAGCGAGGTGACTCAAGGGGTCTGCCCTTGCCTATTCTTTTTTTTAAAGGTTGGATCGTCTTAGTGAGTTGCAAGAGTTTTTTAATTAAAAACTTTTTAAGTTTAGGTTAGTACAAGCCAGTACAAAAATTAACTCAAATTGTGCTGTATTGTAGATACATATAGAGGGTGCCAAAAAATGTACACACATATTAATAAAGGAAAAAACTGCGCTTTGGGAGGCTGAGGTGAGTGGATTGCCTGAGCCCGTGGGTTCGAGACCCGCCTGGGCAACTTGGCGAGACCTCATCTCTACAATAAATAAATAAATCAGCCAGGCATGGTAGCACATGCCTGTAGTTCCAGCTACTTGGAAGAGGCGGAAGGATCGCCGGAGCCCAGCAGGTCGAGGCTGTGGTGGCTGGGAGCGGCCACTGCACTCCAGTCTAGGTGACAGAGTGAGACTCCAACTCAAAAAAAAAAAAAAAACTGTATTGAAATTGTAATAATACATTCTGTTAACAAAAGATGAGTACAAGTTACATTTGACCTCTGCAATTACAAGAGGCGCTCAAAGTGGTTACCATTGGCGTCCAGATACTTCTGATGACGGCGAACTACTGCAGGGATTATTGCTGTGTGAGGCCTCCTGGATCTTCCCTTGTGCACATCAGACACAGTAGCACCATGCGTCTCAGACTCATCACGACTATGTGCAGTCGTTAGGCGTGTTGGAGGTTCTGTTGCCTACCCATGTCTCCGTTGTCGCTGTACTTCTGCGGCGTTCTCAGATTTCAAATGCCACTTCAAAATGGTCTTGTGCTGTTTGAACAGTAACCGTGCTTCTTCCATCTTCTTTGGTTGTCCTGCCTGTCGCATGGTGAATCCAGCATTCACTTGATTAATGTCATCTTCTGAGCAGACGTCATGCTACACGTTGCAACCATCATTCAATTCAACTTTGAAAAGTAATACATAGACAACATCTTTTAAAATCTATATTCTTTTTTTGGCACCCCCAGTATATCTATTTATTGCAAACGTTTTCTCCCCTTCTGTGACTTGCCTTTTCTTTTTTTTTTACATTTTAAAGATGTGGGGTACAATTCATTCAGGGTTAGGTATACAAACGTTGATTACGCAGGTACCCTTGTTGATGAGGTGTGCCCCAACTTGCCTTTCTCATTTTCTAAATTGTGTCTTTCAAAGAACAAACATTTTAAGACTTTTATGAAGCCCAGTTTATCAAGCTTTTCTTGTATGGTTTTTGTTTCTTATGTCTTAAGTAAGAAATCTTTGTGTATCCCAGTGTTGCAAATATTTTTTTCTATGTTCTCTTCAAGAAGTTTCATAGTTGCAGCTCTACATTTACGTCTATGATGCCTTTTATTTTTTATGTTAGGAGTGAGATAAGGGTTATTGTACCTTGTTTCCATATATGGATATTAAGTTATTCTAGCATTCTTCTGAATAGACCATTGAGCTGCCGGGCATATGGGGCATTACTTAGGGGAATTGCTGTATTAAAAATGGAAGTTAATCGTTTGGTATATCATACCTTTCTAAAGTAATAGGAATTCACTTGGGGTCAGTGTGATCTGAATCCCAATCTGATCCCAAATTTTGCATAGGAGCTGCGGGGGGCAGGTGGCTTCAATTGCTTTAGCCCCATTTCTTGAATGCCAATGTCACTTCTGTTTCTATCGTTTGCACTTACTAGAGGCTGGCAAAGATTCCCACCAGTGGGCTTGGTGTGAACGTGACCGGCCAGGATGGCTCCTCCCCACTGCACGTGGCCGCCCTGCATGGCCGGGCGGACCTTGTCCCTCTGCTGCTGAAGCATGGTGCCAACACGGGTGCCAGAAATGCAAACCAGGCGGTCCCGCTCCATCTAGCCTGCCAACAGGGCCACTTTCAGGTACGGGCTCTGTCTCTTGGACAGTGTAGCAGGTTGCTTGCTTTTGGCTAGAACTTTGCTTGGTGGGTATGCTGGGGAAGGGCGGGACCTTGGCCGCTAGCCCAGAGGACACTGCCCACTTCTCAGCCCTGAGGTTCTGAGGCACACGGGACAGGACCCCTCGGCCTCGGAGCACAGCCCTGCTGCTCCCTGGAGTCATCCAGCCCTCCGCCCACTGCCACTCGCATCGTTAATTGCTGGCCAGGAGACTATTCCTTAGCCCACATACTCGTGTTTCATACTTCAGCAACACTGGTTTGTGACAAGCCCCTGTGTAATCCAACCCAAAGAAATTATTCATATTCTGAAACCACTTTGCACTCTGAAAGATACCAGCCCTCCTCATCTCCTCAAATCTCCATGGAATCATAATTTCTGTGGAAATCTACATATGCCTTACCAGAAGGCCCCATCTGAGGTCTTGTCAAAGCACTGGGAGCGCTGGAAGCCATGGTAGTTGCTGTCTGTGTGGGACAGAGGCTGTCATTCTGGCTCTGACCCCAGCAAGGGCTGTCTCTCGTGCTTGGTTATTGGTCACTGAGGGCTCTGCCCATGGCCACCTTAACTCTTATGCTCCCACAGCCCTTGGCTTGTGCCTTTTAGTACTTTATGAAATAGAGTCATGCCCTCCAGAAGAGGGTCAAGGGATAATTTTGGAATGAGTAACTTTTATAAATTCTGTTTTTCTTTTAGATTTTTAATTTTCCTGTCAGTTCTACTGTAAGCTTTTTATTTTTATTCTTGTTTTTTGAGTTGGTGTATCACTCCTTCGCCCAGGCTGGAGCGCAGTGGCATGCACGCTCACGGCTACTCCAGCGTTAACCTTCTGGGCTCCAGCAAACCTTCCTCCTCAGCCTTCTGAGTAGCCGGAACTATAGACATGTGCTACCAAGCCCAGCTATTTTTATTTTATTGTAGAGACAAAGTCTCGCCAAGTTGCCGGGACTGGTCTTGAACCCGTGGGCTCAGGCAATGTACTCACCTAGGCCTTCCAGAGTGCTGGGATTACAAGCTGAGCCACTGAGGCTGACCTACTGTAAGCTTTTTTTTTTTTTGAGTTGAAGTCTCACTCTGTCACCCAGACTGGAGTACAGTGGCCACTCCCGGCCACCGCAGCCTCTACCTGCTGGGCTCCGGTGATCCTTCCGCCTCAGCCTTCCGAGTAGCCAGAACTACAGGTGGGCGCTACCACGCCCGGCTCATTTTTTGATTTATTGTAGAGATGAGGCCTCACCAAGTTGCCCAGGCGGGTCTTGAACCCGCGGGCTCAGGCAGTCCACTCACCTCGGCTTCCCAAAGTGCTGGGATTACAGGCTGAGCCACCGAGCCCGGCCCTACTGTAAGCTTTTTAAAGACAAGGGCCATATTTCAGGTTTTCCATCTCTTTCATAAACACCTAGTATTCTACTTTAAGCATCGGTTTCCTATCTATAAAATTGGAGTAACGATACAGGTTGTAAAGTTGACATGCAAACACTCATGCCTAGCACATTGCTACAGAGTAGACCCTCAGCAGATGTTAACTCCTCCCCTCTCTTGTGGGTCTACTTTCCCCCGAGGGCCAGACCTGAAGAGCATCTAAAGCGACTTCTCAGTAGGCTTAGAGAGAATGCAAGAATATCCACTTAGAGGAATTTTCCCTGCAAATTTCAATTAGGGTTGACAGTGTTTCTTCTCTGGACTAGGTGGTGAAGTATCTCCTCGATTCTAATGCAAAACCCAATAAGAAGGACGCGAGTGGAAACACACCCCTCCTTTACGCCTGCTCCAGTGGCCATCACGAAGTCGCAGCCCTGTTGCTACAGGTGAGGTCTGCAGTCCTGCCCGCTGACACACTGCACAGGTTGGTGGCACCCTCGCCCTGTGGATCCCCCAGCAGCACGCTGGAGACGGAGATGGCCAGCCTCTCCCCCGTGCCGGAAGCCGCCAACTCATCAGTCCCAGGCCTCTGGGGAAAGTCGTGTGGCACCACATTCCCCGCGTGGGATTCTCAGGTGGGAATGGGTGGTCTTGGCATTTGTGCTGCGGTCTGGAGGCAGCATAGGGATGTGCGTGCTGTTTTGGCCGAGGGTTTGGCTCTCGCCCCGTTTACCAGGGTGGACAGTGCACTGTGACCTGAGTGAGCTGAGTGGCCCTCTGTGCCACTGCTGCCAGTATTCCCTCTTGATAAATGTTATATGAATTGACTGCGGAATAGAAGATTTTAAGAAGCAGGGGAAAACCAACTTGTCTATAACCCTGCTACTCAAAGGCAACTCATTTTGATGGACTTTAAAAAATGTGTATATTTGTGATCAGTATTGTTTTCTATCTTGGTGTTTTTTATTTAGTGTAGAAATTTGTTTATTAAAACCTTGATTTTTTTAGGCCAGGCATGGTGGGTCACACCTGTAACCCTAGCACTTTGGGAGGCCAAGGTGGGAGGATTACTTGAGGTCAGGAGTTTGAGACCAGCCTGGGCAAAAATACTAAGACCCCATCTCTACAAAAAAAAAAAAAAAAA